TGTAAGTACACATCATTATATGTCCTATATAAGTGTGTTTCAATGTTTTTGATACTTTGTGTCCTGATGAAAGCTCCTGTGAGGAGCTGAAACGTTGATCCATTCTTCGCAATAAATGAAAATTTGTTTGTGGTGAAACCCTTGAGTGCCGGTATTACTTTATTATATATATATATATATATCAGTGTTGGTTACCTCCTCCACCGCTGCTTCCACCTACACCACCATGGTCACCGCCTCCTCAACCTATGGGTCACTTAGTGTAAACTATGTACACATTAGTAGAGGCTTGTGAAGGCCTTTTCTCCATGCATCAGCAGTTGAGCTCAGTTTGAACAATGAAAGAGAATACTCTGAACTCCAACCTTCTCTCAGATGGATAATTCTGGTGATCCTCCTCACAGCCATGCTTTAGATTTTGATTTATGTTCTTCCAAAGCTAAAATCAAAGATCTAGTGCTATTTCATGGCTCAGCTGTATTTTTAACTTTTATGTTATTTTAAGTGATTTCCATATCCACATTTGTTTGCAGGGCACTTGTCCTGCTCTTACCCCCATTTTACTTCCTTTTGCAGCTCTCTAGCCCTTTCCAGGAATTTTTAGAGGCATGTTTGTGCCCAAAAGTTCAGGTCCCCATTAACTTTAATGGGGTTTGGGTTCGGGGTCAAGTTCAAGCCTGAACCTAGACTTTTTTTTCAAAGTTTAGCCGAACCCGCCAGACCCGAACATCCAAGTGTCTGCTCAACTCTATATAGGACGCCACCGCTCTGTTGGCCGTTTGAATTTTCACCCAATAGTTTTTTATGTACTGCTGAAATCCCAAAAAGGCATAGAATATGGCCCTTAGTTCTCTCAGATTTGAATGCACCATTCTATCTTCTGACGTCCATGTACCTTGTATCCAGTTCTCTTCTAAATGTGCACCCGATCCTTGGAGACTTGCATCTGTGGTTACTGTCTTCCGTGGTGGGTCTTCTAATGGAAAGCCCAGAGATAGGTTCTTGATTTTCATACACCAAGAAAGGTTGTCTAATGTTTTCAGAGTGAGACAAATTTTCTGATCCCAGTTGGACTCTCTGTCATGTATTCATCCGCTTATAGAAAAGTGGTTAATGACATTTACTGTCCATACAGGAAAAGTTGTGCCGAGCAGCAACCTAATCCACAGAAGGGTTAATGCTGAGCAGCAATTATGCAAATGAAACCTGGTAACTGACTTTGGGGTCAAAGGCCGGTTACAGCCTATCAGAACTAAAGGAGGGGTATTTAGGCCCAGTTCTCAGCCTGCTCAGTGCCCTGTCGTGGTTTCCCTTGTGGTTGTCTGAGAGCGCGTTCCTGTTTATAGTTTTCTACCTGGTTTTTGACTTTGGCTTTGTTTGACTTCTCTATATTCTGGTATCCTGACTCCTGGCTTTCCTCATCGCTGTGTCCCTTTTCTGTGTTCCCTGACCTCGGCTAGTATTTTTGACTATTCTTTGTACGTTAAATCCGGCCATTCTAAGGACCGGTAATACGTTACTTATTTGTCATCCGTGCTGTACAGTTCTACGTGCTGGATCAAACAGTAATCCTGACACTCTCGTTTCTTGAAGTCTTTTAAGATCTTCATTTGGATTGGACGCATGTTCCACTGAGCCCATTTCACTAATCCCATGGTTGACGTAAGAGAGCCAATAAGGCTCATAAATTCCATTGCTGTTATGCTTACTTTGTAGCGAAAATTCCCGATTGTTACGGTTACCCCCAGGCTAGCTGGAAGCTGGACCGCTTGGATGGTCTGGATCCCAAAGGCAGAGAGGGAGAATGTATATGTAAATGTTGAGCAATCCAACTAGCTATCATACAGCTAGGATACCCTTTTCCCCACAAAACGAGTCGAGGCTGCAATTTGAAGGTCAAGCAACAACTGGCTTTAATGACACACAGGGAACCATATTTATGCAAAATCTCAGGCCCAGGGACAGCCCCCTCTGGACCTGATGGGATACAGGGACAATACAAGTGGGGGACCAATAGAAATACAATGCATCGTTTGAAATCGTCACCGCCCAGCTTGGAGATAATGAATCCAACGGTTATGACAATAAAATTAACTCAAAGCGCCCAAAATCCCACGTGTTTTTGCTACATAAGAAAAACAGGATAAAAATACATAACTCTAACAGTTTTATATATAATTCGTGCCTTCCACCATTCATTACATAGCCCCGGTTGAGGCGAAACAATTAACTGAAGAGCGCTCAGAACCCACGAATGGTACGCTTAATTTCCCCGAAATAAAGTCTGTTCGTGTCTTTGGGTTCTGAGCGTGTGATGGCGGCCATGTTTTGAGGTAGACTAATAGGCAGCGGGACTTTACCCTCAAACTTGTGGAACAGGAACCGGCTAGAAGTCTGCACAAATCCCTGCTCCGTTGCTGGATGTCTCCGTTGTTCGGGAGTGGGGTACTTAACCTGCGGTTAACCGCAGAAACCAACATTCTAATTGGGGCCACACGCCAGGCTGTAGGTGGTCCTGGTTCGGTACCCGTTCGATGGTTAGAGTATCGGGCGATGGGACAAGAACGTGAATGCTCTGAGGCCGTCAATTAGGTTGCGGTTAACCGCAGACCACTACTCTTTGGGTGATTAAGTGGAGACACCCTCCGCTCTTAGGGTGGTCGGTCGTTCGGTTGTTACAGAGGTGACCGGGGTTAAGTGGCGGCACACGCCAGGATCCTGGTGGCCCACCGTTCGTATAGCGAATAGACATCAGGCCAGTCGTTCGAGAGTTGGGTACCAAATCCCAGTACCTCAGTCAAGCTCTGGGTGAAATGCAACAATGAATAACATTCACCAGTATTTTGTAACATCAATCTTCACCTGAATCCTCTCTATTCTTTCTGTTGATAGATTCACTTTCCCTTTGATAGTGTCTATGGCTGCACCCAGGCATATCATGTTCTGAGTAGGAATCATCATACTCTTTTCCATGTTCTACTGTCACCTGAGTGTGGAAGGCTACAATCTGGCGGGATGGACCTATAATCAAAAAGTCATCCAGATAATGATAGATCTTTTTCTCTTTCTTTCAGATAACTGCAACCAAAGCGATGAGGATCTTTGAGAATGTTCTCAGTGTCAGGCTTAACCCAGACGGAAGCCCCTTGAACTGGTTATGTCTTCCAAACACATAGAACTGAAAGAATTTGTGGTGAAATTTGTTGCTTGGCATCTGGTAATATGCATCCTTTTAAGTCGATTGAAGTCATCCAGTCCCCCCTTCTTATGTTTGGTATAATAGTGGAAATGTAGTCCATCTTAAATGTACTTTTTATTCTGGAATTTAGATTTTTCAAATCCAAAATAAGTCTACACTTCTTTTGTGGTTTTGGGGCCAGGAAAACCGTGGAATAGTGGCCCTTTGATTGTTCTTCTTTTGGAACATCTTCTATAACCTGGTCTTCCAGATATTTCGATATGCAGCTCCTCACAGCCTTTTCTTTTTCTCCTTTTGCTACACGAGATTGGATGAAGATATCTTTTGTCGGAAAAGTTTTGAATTCTATCCTGTATCCTTCTGCCAAAATTGATAGGACCCAGGAATCTGTCACACTTCTGACCCAGACAGGATGAAAGAGATGACGTCTTCCTCCTTTGATTCCTGGCTGGGCCGGCAAAGGTTCAGAATTTTTTTTTCTTGGAATCCATGATCCTCTTCCTCTAGATGATTTTGATTGTCTGATAGTTTCTCCAGTTAGGTCTGGAATATTCTAGGCATGTGCATGGGGAAAATTCTCGGTTCGGGTCGGCATTCCGCAATTCGGGACTTTGGCAATTCGGCACTTCGGCATTTCAGTACTTCTATTGCAGCCGCTTGGTAGATAACTCCCTAATTCCCACAGTATTATACGAAGTAAAAATGACTTAGTTTTAGTAAATTTTGCCTGTGGCTGCTCACTGCAAGTGGGGGCTTTTAAACTAAAGGACCTATTGGCCCCCCCTGGACCCCACCCCTGAGCGGCGGGTGGGGGCCCTAAAGTAAAATGATGGGTGGAACCTATTGTCCTCCCCACCGGCCCCCACCCCTGAGCGGTGGGTGGGGGCCCTAAATACTAATAAGGGGTGGGACCTAATGTCCTTCCTCCTGGCCCCCACCCAATAGCGGTGGGTGGGGGCCCTAAATTGGAATAAGGGGGGGCCTAATGTCTCCCTCCTGGCCCCCACCCCGTAGCAGTGGGTGGGGGCACTAAATTGTAATAAGGGGGGGACCTAATGTCCTCCCTCCTGGCCTCCACCCCGTAGTGGTGGGTGGGGGCCCTAAATACTAATGTCCTCCCCCCCTTATTCCAATTTAAGGCCCCCACCCACCGCTACGGGGTGGGGGCCAGGAGGGAGGACATTAGGGTCCCCCCCCTTATTCCAATTTAAGGTCCCCACCCACCGCTCAGGGGGGGGACCTAATGTCCTCCCTCCTGGCCCCCAACCCTGAGAGGTGGGTGGGGGGCCTAAATACCTGGGGGGAACCTATTGTCCTAAACAAAAATATCCCCCCAGGTGACTAGGGGCCCCAAACCCCTAGTCACCCCCTTTCCCCCCCCCAAAAAAAAATTAACCCCCTACCTAATCCCCTCACCCTAAAAATAATGAGGGGGGGACCTTTAACTAAGTACCTGTAAAAAAAAAACTTACCATTTGATGTTTTCTTTCTTCTAAAATCATCTTTTTTCAGCCCCCAAAAAGCCAAATAAAAAGCCATAATAACCGACGCACTTTAAAAAAAAAAAGGGTTAACATGGGGGGAGGACATACATGTAGTGTGTTTGTGTGTGTGTGTGTGTGTATGTATGTATATCTATACGTGTGTGTGTGTGTGTGTGTGTATATATATACAGGTGATACTTGAAAAATTAGAATATCGTGCAAAACTTCATTTATTTCAGTAATTCAACGTAAAAGGGGAAACTAATATATGAGATGGATGCATTACATGCAAAGCAAGATAGTTCAAGCCGTGATTTGTCAGAAGTGCGATAATTATGGCTTACAGCTCATGAAAACCCCAAATCCACAATCCCAGTAAATTAGAATATTGTGAAAAGGTGCAATATTCCAGGCTCACAGTGTCCCACTCTAATCAGCTAAGTCAGCCATAACACCTGCAAAGGGTTTCTGAGCCTTTAAATGGTCTCTCAGTCTGGTTCAGTAGGAATCACAATCATGGGGAAAACTGCTGACCTGACAGTTGTGCAGAAAACAATAATTGACATCCTCCATAAGGGAAAGCCTCAAAAGGTAATTACGAAGGAAGTTGGATGTTCCCAAATTGCTGTATCAAAGCACATTAATAGAAAGTTATGTGGAATGGAAAAGTGTGGAACAGAAAGGTGCACAAGCAGTAGGGATTACCGCAGCCTGGAGAGGATTGTCAGGAAATTCCATTCAAATGTGTTGGGGGCTTTCACAAGGAGGCTGGAGTCAGTGCATCAAGAGCCACCACACACAGACAGATCCTGGACATGGGCTTCAGATGTCATATTCCTCTTGTTAAGCCGCTCCTGGACAACAAACAACGTCAGAAGCGTCTTACATGGTTTAAAAAAAAAAAAAAACAGACCTGGTCTGTTGCAAAGTCCTCTTTTTCTGAAGAGAGCAACTTTTGCATCTCCTTTGGAAACCAAGGACCCAGAGTCTGGAGGAAGAATGGAGAGGCACACACTGCAAGATGCTTGAAGTCCAGTGTGAAATTTCCACAGTCTGTGTTGATTTGGGGAGCCATGTCATCTGCTGGTATTGGTCCACTGTGCTTCATTTAGTCCAGGGTCAAGGCAACCATCTACCAGGAGATTTTGGAGCACTTAATGTTTCCTTCCGCAGACGAGCTTTATGGGGATGCTGACTTCATTTTCCAGCAGGACTTGGCACCTGCCCACACTGTCAAAAGCACCAAAGCCTGGTTCAGTGACAGTGGGATTACCGTGCTTGATTGGCCAGCAAACATGCCTGACCTGAACCCCATAGAGAATCTATGGGGCATTGCCAAGAGACAGATGAGACATGAGACTGAACAATCCATAACACCTCAGCAGTGCCACAGGCTGATAGCTTCCATGCCACGCCACATTGAGGCAGTAATTGCTGCAAAAGGGGCCCCAAACCAAGTACTGAGTCCATATGCATGCTTATACTTTTCAGAGGTCCGATATTGTTCTATGTTCACTCCTTGTTTTATTGATTGTATGTAATATTCTAATTTACTGAGATCATATATGCATTATGTAACGGAACCGTTGGCACCCCGAGCGGGTACCTTCCGCTGAGGGATGCTCCTAGTGCTTTCCGAGGTCTCCAAGCACTCCAACTGACACCATAACCACTGCAGACCCCACGAACCACCGCAGCTTGGTTGGGGTCTTGCTGTCTCCACCCACTCTGGACCCAAGACCAGGGTCCAGCTTCCAGTAGGTCGACCTCTCCGAATTCCAGAGAACAGGAACAAGCTCTTAGCAGAGCTTAGTGATTATACCCTGGGGAGTAAAGTGATTATAGCAATCCCCAAAGTGTAATTCTCCAATCCCCCAAACATGAGCTGAAACTTCATGAAGGTACAAGATGATCTGCTTTAATTGGCACCAAAGGACTTTCTTTTATGCAGGTTTTACACATACAGTCCCGCCCACAGGGTTTTGTAGAACAACCAATAAAACACGTACATTACTGTAATAAACGTTTAACTCGCAAGTTGGAATAAACTTGGAATTAATAATAACATTAATAACTAAAAATAATAACTTAAAAACCGAGTGTAAAGTCAGAGTCCACACTCCTTGCTTTCGGCAATTCAATAATATTTATTAATAAAGGCTTAATCAAACAAATAAACAATACATATACATTTAAAATAGGCTAGTATATGTTGCTACTAAAACTAACATTGACTGAATGGAAAGTAGGCTAAATTAACATAGCAAAACAGGCATAGACACGTGATACAGTTACCACTCCATTGATCAGCAGCTGAGAGTAAGAGAGAGAGGGTGTGTACAGTGGGGAGAGGGGAGAGAGGAGAGAGAAGGTGAAGAGAGGTAATTCAAAGAGAGAGAGAATGTGCTATTCACAGGCCTTTAAACAGGTTAGCCCCTCCTTCTGCTGGACACACCTCCCTTAGTCAATCCCTTAGGATGTAACAGAACCAGAGTGCCCCCTGGGGGAAGGGGGATTGCATTGGAAGGGAATGGAGGAGGAGTTTATCAACAACCCAACTGATTTTGCCTTGTGAAAGGCCATGTGCTTCACAGAGGACTCCATTATTGCCTAAGGGTAGAATGGGGGCTTGAATCCCTGTATTAGAACACAATAACACTTCATTGGCATACAGTTTGGCTGTTAATCACATCCCCCCACTTATTACATCCCTCCTATTGGCAATGAAGTGGATGAGACACTTAGACTCTATAAAACCCACCAGAGATAAGAGAGAGAGATAATGCATCCTGCAGTGTATCTACTTATGTGAATGCACAACCCATTGTCACAATAGAGCTCTTTCCATTTACATATCATATTGGAGATGATATACTCTAACAATCAATGACTTCAAGTAACAACACATACCAACCTGATTAAAAATGCATACTATAGAAAACACACAATACAATAATAAATGGGTGAATTAATACATTTTCCATGGCAGTACCCCATGATGATTGGTTTCGGAAGTGAGTTTTTTTTTTATTTCTTCCACCAGGTAGTACTAGCCATGTCAGTAAATAAATGTTCAGTTAGTTAAAGTTCTTGTTGTTGATGAAAGAACTCAGCACAGGTTTGTTGATCCTTCTGTGTCCAATCCTCCATTAAAGTATTGATAGTTCTCTGAATTTAACACCCTCAGACTGGAGTGTTGCAGTCATACTATATATATCAATTATATTTACAAAACCCAACCCAGTACCCACACCTCCCAGAACCGTACCCAAGACAACCCTCCTATTCCTAGTTCTACTTCTTGTCACCCATCTGACTAAAACCTTATTAATAGTGGATGTGACCCTAGAACAGTTCTGAAAGTGTGATGAAACTAGCCAATCTGTTAGTCGAATCAATTGGAAAGTAACATTCCTAACTATAGGGGTAGGTCTCAGTATACATATTGGGAAATTACCACTGGAGACCACTCTAATCTTCTGACACTCAGGTCTGCTCCCATTATCCATTAGTGAAGGAGTTGTATGAATATAGGTGAAAGGAGGAGTCAGGAATATAGGCTCTATCTCTTCCTCTACATTCAACAAGACCTTCACTTCCCCACCCTTATTGTGTCCTACTGTTCCCCAATTTATCCCCTTTATGATTAATGTATCCACTATAATTCATGTTATATGATACTCTCTAAGATTGCTGTTAACATTATAACTAGGGTTAGTAACATTTCATAACATTTCATTTCATATTAATATTTCCTCCCTCCATATCTACATTCCCATTTTCCTCAACCAGTCCATAAACATTCCCAATGTTCTTAATTTCCCTTATTGTCTTTTCCAAAATCCCTTGAAAGAATCATGTCGCTTTAACCAAACAATCTTGACCGCCCACCCAAAATTAAATGTCGCATCTACATATGGACTTGTAGATTGTCACTGCTGTCCTCTGTTAAGTCTTTGGTAGATCGAGCTGCCTTTGCATAGATACAGCTGTTGTTGCTTTGGCCTGTGACAAGCTGTTCCATCACTTTCCAGGTGAGTTTTAGCATGTTGAGTGACATCCATGTCTCGGTACTTTTGGAAAAATCTGTAAGAGATCAAGAAGGCGTATCAGTTCTTAGCAGATAACTCTGTACCTGGGGAACAAGCCCCTTTTTTATAAATTACGTTGGACTACATGGACTGACTTGTATAGACCTCTGCATTTTTACAAATGTTTTGCCCAATGTTTCTAGGATTACATAGGGCTCTTCCCAATTTGCATCCCAGGGATAATTTTGATAAAATGTTTAATCTTTATTACGCCTACCCCCCCTTTCTCAAACAGAGTTTGAGGAGTAGATACAATTTTACAATTTTACAATTTGTTGGGGCCATATATGAGACCCCCCTTGGACAGTGTAAGTGCACCTATGAAATCATTCTGTATTGACTTCCAGGGGCTGTCTGAAACTGGCACTCTCTGATGCACAGGCCTTTGTTGCTTAGGGCATGGATATACTTTAACATAACAACCCTTCTTTTATAGAATGACCACTTTGCAGTGTTTGATGGTTCTGTAATAAAAGAGAAAGATTAGAATTCCTATTCAGTTCTGCTTTTAAATCTGGCACTTCTGAACCTTGATCAACAATCGTGGCTATCCGTAATTAGTTCTTTGCATGTGAAGTGCTCCTCCCATGCTGTACCTCAGGGTCTTTTACATGTAAATGCCATTGATCTCCATCTAAGACAGCCTCCTTTGCTAACAAATTCAATTGTACCTTTGAATGAGTGTTTACTGCTGACTGGAGGGGTGCTTTAGTCCCCATCCAACCAGTTTCCCAAGATTCCATAGGGACAGACAGTTTGACCTGGTGGCATAAGCAATGTCACTATGGATACAAATAGGGCGTGTGCCAAATTCCTTTGAAAAAATTACAAATCCCCCCCAAAAAAAAACTTCTTCAAGGATTGCTTGTTAAAAGGTCTGGGGACTTGTAAGATTGCTATCACTCTTCAATTGAGCAGCTGTGATAGCTACTCCCAAAAATGTTACCTTTTGTGTGAGCAACCTTTGAAGTGTTTAGCTTAACTCCAGGATTTTTCAATTAAGCCAAAAAATTAAGTTAAAAAAAAAATTCATATGTTGTTGTTTTGCCCCAGAAGGTGGACTTAGTGATAGGTCAGTAAATCTCACTGAAGCTCCTGTGTTAGTACAATTCTTTGTCTGTTGCCTTGCCATAATTTCATTCACGTAAGGGCATCCTGCATGGTCCATGAATGTGTTGCAAATAGGAACCATGCCATCCAGTTAGTTATTCCAAAAATGAAATCAGAGGAACTTCACCCTCTTCATTCATTTTAGAGTTGCTAGTCACTGTTCCCTGTACAGTCATCATTCTCAGAGCCTCCTGCGCAGGACCGTATAGATTGGTCTTAGGCAGGGGGTGAGAATGGCGTCCCTGAGCTGTTTTATCCGGGGGTTTATTTCGGTCAATCTTTTCGTATACATTTTGACCTATTCTTTCTTTGAAAGGCCCAGAGGGATAAGCATGCCATCCCTCAGTCATCCTTTGATCTATCTTTGCCTTTCTACACTCTTTCTGTCTATGACCACGTTTGTTGCAATAATAACAAGTACCTCTGAATGGAATCTCTGAGAGAGCTTGCCTCCCTTCATTAGTAGCCATAATTGCCACCTTGTGGTGTAATGTAACACCTTTCCTAATTAAATTTTGTCTAGCTTTTCCTATAATAGTTAGAACTCCTTCCAGAGTGTCTTTTTCATCTGCTATCATTTGCACTCCGGGATCTAAATAAGTGAATTTTTTTATCAGGTATTGCAGTAAATCACGAGGGGTTTGATCTTGTGGTATACGGTGGGTTAATCTGTACACTTGTTCAAATTTAGATGCAAAAACCCAAGGATCATCCTGTAAGTGTACCTTCATTTCAGCAAGTGAATGACTGTCTAAATCTCTTTCTCCGGTAATCAATTTGGAGATTGCTCTAAGCCTGTCTCCTTCTGTCCCCCATTTGTCCTCTTTGAACCAATCTTGATCCCGATTAATGGGCCCATTTATGGGGGAATTTAATCTGCATGCAATGCTGCTTGGTGCCCACATTTTAAGCATAATACATGCCTCTTTAGGAGAGAGCATATATTGTTTGACTGCAGATTCAAAGTTGGACATGTTTGAAATTACATCTATTTTGCAGTCATATGGGGGGAAAAGGGATCTTAACTTAACAAGCTGTTTGATTACTTTATCCCTATCTTGCTGCTGTATAATTTTAGCAGTCTGCAGGGTGGCAGATGCCCTGCTTTTAACAGTCGGTGTAATGGACAAAGGGTCCCTAAAAGGTGATGCTGTTGGTTTAGTTATATGGGGGGTTAATACCGGAATACCACTAATATCAAACCCATCCAGTACAAGGTTTCCCCTGTTTACCCCTTGGTCCTCATTTTCTGCAATACCAGATGCCTCTTCTTCCTCTGCACACATATCCCCATGGCCACATACAGCAACTGGGGTTTGTGCAGCCAAACCTGTTCTAAGCGATGAAATTAGCTCTTCTCTCGCTTCATAATTGTCCTCTAATGTATTTACATATTCTGCATTTAAGCCACAAGTTGGACAATCACTATATTTCTGAGTACTACTTTGTATACAAGCCACAGTAGTGTGCCCCAGAAGTATCCGATTTAATTGATTTCTTAATAACAGCAACAATTTCATGCAATTTTGGATTTTCTGTTTATCCTTATTCAAACACCATTTTTTATTATCTACTCTCATGTTCTCTTTTTCGCATTGTAACCACATGCTATGCATTTTCTTAAATTCATTTTCATTTTCAAACATTAGTGGATCAAAACTGCTAGACGCTGCATATTCTGCTACAATTTCCATTCTTAAAATAAAGTCAAAAGTACTTACACGATTTGTGTCTTCAGACTGCAGGCAAATCAAATGGTGTGCACCCCACTTTGAATCCTTGGTCTGGCTATCTCCGATCCTCCAGAAGCGATGGCCGGCTTACAAACTGCGTCTCACTCTGGTTGCCTCTGTAGGATCCCGCACGTCCTGGCCCTGGACGTATTGCCGAAAACGCTCACAAAAAATAAAACAAAAATTGGTTCGGTTATTTTGTCCCCTTTTATAGCTCACATGTATCTGCAGAAGACTGGATTGTTCCCCCCTTGCAAGTGAGCTTAAAAGGTGGTAGAAAATAATAACATGGCTCGCCAAATGTAATAAACGTTTAACTCGCAAGTTGGAATAAACTTGGAATTAATAATAACATTAATAACTAAAAATAATAACTTAAAAACCGAGTGTAAAGTCAGAGTCCACACTCCTTGCTTTCGGCAATTCAATAATATTTATTAATAAAGGCTTAATCAAACAAATAAACAATACATATACATTTGAAATAGGCTAGTATATGTTGCTACTAAAACTAACATTGACTGAATGGAAAGTAGGCTAAACTAACATAGTAAAACAGGCATAGACACGTGATACAGTTACCACTCCATTGATCGTCAGCTGAGAGTAAGAGAGAGAGGGTGTGTATAGTGGGGAGAGGGGAGAGAGGAGAGAGAAGGTGAAGAGAGGTAATTCAAAGAGAGAGAGAATGTGCTATTCACAGGGCTTTAAACAGGTTAGCCCCTCCTTCTGCTGGACACACCTCCCTTAGTCAATCCCTTAGGATGTAACAGAACCAGAGTGCCTCCTGGGGAAAGGGGGATTGCATTGGAAGGGAATGGAGGAGGAGTTTATCAACAACCCAACTGATTTTGCCTGGTGAAAGGCCATGTGCTTCACAGAGGACTCCATTATTGCCTAAGGGTAGAATGGGGGCTTGAATCCCTGTATTAGAACACAATAACACTTCATTGGCATACAGTTTGGCTGTTAATCACATCCCCCCACTTATTACAATTACAGTAAAACACTCCCAGCAATTACACACTAACCCTCCCCTCTGCCTGTGATTTATTCACTGAACACAATGGGTTAAAGTAATTATCACAGGCAGGAAAAATACACTTTTTATACATACACTGTAACTTTAAAAATATGCATCATATACACATAAAACATACATATTCAGAATGAGTATACTTTAAATATAAACATAACCAAAAATCATACAAATCCCTCCAGTAGTTCAAAAGTTAGCTGGAAATCCTTTATGACCAACTGCAAGCACATTTTCGTGCCCAAAACAGTTCCATAGATTTGGGCTGTGTGGTCGGTCTATTTCAGGCAGAAAAGTGACTAAGTCCCATTTGAATGCACGAACGGGGCCGTTTGTGCATTTAGCTTAGTCTCACTGTATGTTCAAACTGCCGAACGGGACTAAGTCTCTGTAGCTGAAAATGGAGTGTAGGAGAAGGTAAGGGTCAGCTTTGTTCATTGACATGTGTAGCAGATTTCAGTTCCATGGATTTGGCTACACATACTGCTGACCTCGTTCGAATGAACAAAGATGGCCACCGTTTGCAGCCACCCAGCTTTCGGCAATTTACCTAGAGCAGACTCCCAGCCTGGGAGGTAAATTGCCTGCACACTTCCACTTCTGGGTGGTCCGCCTGTGTGGTACTTGGTTCAGTAAGCCCCATTTACTGAACCAAGTGGGAGAAAACAATAGACAAAGTATTTTAAAGATACAAAGAAAACAAAAACTATCCCTTACTGAGATAGTGAGTGATATACTAAAGTGCCTGAATAAAAGCAGCTCAACACAAAAAGTGGAATACCTTAATCCACAATAAAGTGCAAAATACAAGAAAATGCAAAATACAAGAAAAAAAGGTATAAACAATATACCAGCAAGTGGAGCGCTATATTGAATGTATATATAAATAATGAGGGGGTATACTCACCCCTCCAACATAGTGATACAATGTGTCCAAATGTACATACAAAGTAAAACAACAAAGAGAGAGAATATAGTGCAGATGGTTTACAAAAAATAAAAATAAAAAATAAATAAAAATAATAAAATAAAAAATAAAATAAAAAATGAATAATGGTAGCAATTGGTTGAAACCACTCACGTGGGTTGGAGCCTATAAGCTATTGGCTCCGTAAGTGACTCCTTCTTGCTCTTGAGGCAGCAACACACCCCTTTATCCCAAACGATATTCTCCCGAAGATATGGAACAAACAGAGAGAGAGAGCCTCATAGGTGGTATTGTACAGATGGTGTATACAATATAGTGAGATAGTAATAGATATGCTTACCTTAGACAGAGCCTTGAATTCCTGGCTCTGAGGTTTGTTGGCAATGTGCTAATTTATTGGGATAGCATTCCCCACATGGTGTTCCTGGAGGCTAGAAAGGACTATATGGACTAATATATAAAAAAATAACAATTTATTGTAGAGATAAAAAAATAATAATAAAAACAATATTTAGACTTCTCAAAAGCACATAAGCTAAATGATGGAAAGTCCAAGTATAAAAGTCCAAACTCCAGCTAAACGCGTTTCACTCTTGTATGAGCTTCCTCAGTAGCTGTGAAGTAGCCTCAGGAATCTTCCACTTTATAAGTGCTCTAAAGTTGATTCGGATCCTCCCTTTGAGGTCAAAGGATGTGTGATTATCCAATCATAAGGTCAGAGTCTCTTTCAAATTTCTTATATTGATCACCTGTAGTAAAAAAGCTTACATTGGCTAAATTGCCTGTCAATCAATCAAAAAGCTTGATTATTATTGGTGGTTGGATGGTGCTGTATTTTTCAAATTTCCTATATTGATCACCTGTGGTAGAAAAGCTTGCATTGGCTGAATTGCCTGTCAATCAGTTAAAAAACTTATTCTATTGGTGGTTGAATAGGGCTGTCTTTCTCAAAAAATTTTTATAAACTGATCACCTGTGGTAAAAAAGGCTTTCATTGGCTGAATTGCCTGTCAATCAATTACAAAACTTGATTAGAACAAATTCTATTGGTGATTGGATGGGGCTGTCATGTATAGCACCCATTCAGGGCAGTGGTTGGCGGAAGTGACATCACTTCCGCCCTCCAACATCTTCCCAAATGTCATTGTTAATAAAAAAAACAAAAAAAAACGGAATGCATATTAACAAAGTGAAATAGATAGATAGGTACAATAACAGAGAGATTTCCCTCAAATATAAAATAAAAGGGATTACCAAAATGGAGGTCGATTAAAAACTTACTGGATGAGAGAGTGCAATCAAAACAAACTTCTCCCATTGGATTTCAAGACTTCATTTTATAAGAGGACATAAAACCAAATGGCATAAATTTTGATAGTACAGATATAATATTGCAGATGGTACAGATATACTATGATACTGTTGAATATATGTGAAGGATAATTAAAGGAAATGACAGAGTTCGAAATCTATATTTAAACCTTTGGGTTGTAAAGTCCCAAGGCTAAAAATCCATCTCATTTCATTTTGAGCTAAAATTTTGTTAAAATCACCGCCTCTCCAATTTCCTAAAGTTTTGTGTATGCCCATAAATATGAGCCCCTGAGGATTGCTGTTGTGTGTAGTCTTGAAATGATTGGATACACTGTGTCCTTCATATCCCTTCTTAATGTTCCTTATATGCTCTTCTATTCTAATATGCAGATTACGTTTTGTGCGGCCCACATACTTGAGGCCACATGGACATTCCAACAGGTACACTACATTGGTTGAATGGCAAGTGATGAGATTGTTTATGTTGAACTCTTCATTTTCTTTAGTACTTTTGAATTTCCCTATATGTCTTTTTTTGCTTCCAGTATTCCTGCACGCCAAACATATTCCACAACCAAAGAAACCTTTCCTAGTATCAATTGGCTTTATGCTGCATGGTTTTCTGATGTGGTTCCTTACTAGTAATTTTTTCATGTTAGGTGCCCCTCTAAAGATCACCTTGGGTTTGTCTGGTAGAATGGTGAACAGGACTGGGTCTTCCTTTAAGATTGACCAGTGTCTATTAATAATTTTTCTTAAATGACGGTTACCATGACTGTAATTACAGAATATAGGTATGTTGCCATTATCATTAAATCTTTCTTTATTCTCATTAATCCCTTTATCTATTAATAGGGTTTCTCTCTTAATTGCCATCACTTGATTGAGATCTTTGGTTAGATTATCTTGTTTATATCCTTTTTCCAACATTTTACCTTCTAATTTATGTGATTGTTCAATAAATTTAGTTTCCTCAGTGCAGTTCCTTTTTATCCGGATAAATTGAGATTTGGGGATTCCCTTAAGCCAAGGTGTAAAATGACAGCTCGTGGTGTGAATAAAACTATTCACATCTACTTTTTTAAAATGAGTGCTAGTTTTGATTTTATTATCTTCAATAAAAATGTCAAGATCTAAAAAATTCACTCTCGTTTTGTTAAAATCCGTAGTGAGGGCTATGCCCCAATCATTATTGTTCAATGTATTAATAAAGTCGGTTAGTGATTCTTCTGTTCCTTCCCAGATAAAAAACAGGTCATCTATGTAACGGCGATAGGTGACGAGGCCCGTCGCCCAGCCCGCCCCATGATGGATAAACTGGAGCTCCCAATATGCCATAAAAAGATTGGCATAGCTGGGCGCAAACCTCGTTCCCATCGCCGTCCCACAGGCCTGTAAATAAAAATGTCCATCATACCAGAAATAATTGCTGGTTAAAATTAAAAGAATCCCTTGCATAATAAAATCTATATGGTCAGGGGGAAAATTACCTGATTGCTCTAAGAAAAACCTGGTGGCCATACAGCCCCTATCATGTGCAATATTGGTGTAAAGGGAGCTCACATCAGCAGTGGACAGAAAATAATTTTCGTTCCACACCAATTTTTCTATGTGTCTTAATATATCCCCAGTATCCTTCAGATAGCTGGGTATTCCTTGAACAATTGGTTGCAAGCATTGGTCTATATACTCAGATAATCTACAGGACACAGAACCAATGCCTGAGACTATAGGCCTCCCTGGAGGTTGAGTGGGATTCTTGTGGATTTTGGGGAGGTGGTATAGTACTGGAATTCTTGGGAAATCAATTTTTAAGTAATTAAACTCTTTTTGGTTCAAGATCCCATTTGTAAGTCCTTCATTTAGGTAATTATGGAATTTGTCCTTGAGATTCTTTGTAGGATCTGCTCCTAATTTTATATAGGTATTGGTGTCCTCCAGTAATTTGTATGATTCCTTGTTATAGTCATCTAATGTCATTAAAACTACACCCCCCCCCTTATCGGCTGGTTTTATAATTATTGAATTATCTTTCTGGAATTTCTTCAGGGCCATACACTCTTTCCTGGTGAGGTTCTGTTGATGTTTATTGGGTTCTTTAATTTTATTTATATCTCTCATCACTAATTTTTCAAATGTTACCATTTCACCTGATATTAAGTTTTTGGGATAGAACTTTGATTTTTCTTTCAAGTTAGTATGTTTATAGACATCATGTTGTGTATCTTCAGAATTAGTTAAAATAGGGTTCTTGTAGAAAAATTTCTTTAGACATAATGTCCTCTTAAATTTATTTAAATCAACATATGTCTCAAATTTATTTAGCTTTTTAGTTGGTGCGAATTTCAAACCCTTCTGTAACAATTTAATTTGAGGAGAGTTCAAGACATATGGTGTTAGATTGAAAATCCCTGCTTGTTTTTCTCTATCTTTCATATTTACTGGTTTCGTCTGTCTCTTTTTTCTCCTCTGAAGGTTCGCTCCTCCTCTAACTCCCCTTCCTCTATACTTCTCCGTCTCTTCTGTGGTGATCTCTGTTGGTATTGGGGTTTGTGTTTGACTCTGTTCCTCAAGTTCCAAAAATCCCCTTCCTGAGGGGTTCTGGCTAAGGTCTCGAATCTATTAGAGATAGGTATATGTGACAACCTCCTTGTACTTTTACGGATTTTACTTTGGGCCGTTAAAAACTCGTCAGATCTTGCCCTTCTTTCTGTTCTTATTGGGGTTCTGATATTATCTTGGATATATGGCCTCGACACATGTGGTTCTCTTGTTTTCGTGCTCGAAACCTTAGGACGGTTCCATTCATTAGTGTGATTGGTTGTCCTGTATTCTGTTCTATTTCTAGGCCCATTTTGGAAATTGGGTTCATGGTACCTGTTTCGGATGTTATTTTGATAGTGTCTGACTGAGTGTTGTGTTTTATTTCTATCGCCTTGTCTGTATATGGGCTGTTTTCTATTTCCATATGTGTAAGCTTCATTCTTATTGTAATCAGTCCTATCACGTGTGTATTTTTTCTTTTTAATTTGGATTGTATCTTTTTCTACTTTTTCTAGGGTGTGTTGTAAATTTTCGGTGATTTTCCTATATTTCTCGGAATTAGTGTGATTTAATAAAAAATTTTGTTCCTTATTGATTTCTGCATCAAGTTTTTCCAAATTATACTCTCTTCGCTTAATTAAAGTTCTCATCACAGCTATGCCAATCTTTTTATGGCATATTGGGAGCTCCAGTTTATCCATCATGGGGCGGGCTGGGCGACGGGCCTCGTCACCTATCGCCGTTACATAGATGACCTGTTTTTTATCTGGGAAGGAACAGAAGAATCACTAACCGACTTCATTAATACATTGAACAATAATGATTGGGGCATAGCCCTCACTACGGATTTTAACAAAACGAGAGTGAATTTTTTAGATCTTGACATTTTTATTGAAGATAATAAAATCAAAACTAGCACTCATTTTAAAAAAGTAGATGTGAATAGTTTTATTCACACCACGAGCTGTCATTTTACACCTTGGCTTAAGGGAATCCCCAAATCTCAATTTATCCGGATAAAAAGGAACTGCACTGAGGAAACTAAATTTATTGAACAGTCACATAAATTAGAAGGTAAAATGTTGGAAAAAGGATATAAACAAGATAATCTAACCAAAGATCTCAATCAAGTGATGGCAATTAAGAGAGAAACCCTATTAATAGATAAAGGGATTAATGAGAATAAAGAAAGATTTAATGATAATGGCAACATACCTATATTCTGTAATTACAGTCATGGTAACCGTCATTTAAGAAAAATTATTAATAGACACTGGTCAATCTTAAAGGAAGACCCAGTCCTGTTCACCATTCTACCAGACAAACCCAAGGTGATCTTTAGAGGGGCACCTAACATGAAAAAATTACTAGTAAGGAACCACATCAGAAAACCATGCAGCATAAAGCCAATTGATACTAGGAAAGGTTTCTTTGGTTGTGGAATATGTTTGGCGTGCAGGAACACTGGAAGCAAAAAAAGACATATAGGGAAATTCAAAAGTACTAAAGAAAATGAAGAGTTCAACATAAACAATCTCATCACTTGCCATTCAACCAATGTAGTGTACCTGTTGGAATGTCCATGTGGCCTCAAGTATGTGGGCCGCACAAAACGTAATCTGCATATTAGAATAGAAGAGCATATAAGGAACATTAAGAAGGGATATGAAGGACACAGTGTATCCAATCATTTCAAGACTACACACAACAGCAATCCTCAGGGGCTCATATTTATGGGCATACACAAAACTTTAGGAAATTGGAGAGGCGGTGATTTTAACAAAATTTTAGCTCAAAATGAAATGAGATGGATTTTTAGCCTTGGGACTTTACAACCCAAAGGTTTAAATATAGATTTCGAACTCTGTCATTTCCTTTAATTATCCTTCACATATATTCAACAGTATCATAGTATATCTGTACCATCTGCAATATTATATCTGTACTATCAAAATTTATGCCATTTGGTTTTATGTCCTCTTATAAAATGAAGTCTTGAAATCCAATGGGAGAAGTTTGTTTTGATTGCACTCTCTCATCCAGTAAGTTTTTAATCGACCTCCATTTTGGTAATCCCTTTTATTTTATATTTGAGGGAAATCTCTCTGTTATTGTACCTATCTATCTATTTCACTTTGTTAATATGCATTCCGTTTTTTTTTTTTTTTTTTTTATTAACAATGACATTTGGGAAGATGTTGGAGGGCGGAAGTGATGTCACTTCCGCCAACCACTGCCCTGAATGGGTGCTATACATGACAGCCCCATCCAATCACCAATAGAATTTGTTCTAATCAAGTTTTGTAATTGATTGACAGGCAATTCAGCCAATGAAAGCCTTTTTACCACAGGTGATCAGTTTATAAAAAAATTTGAGAAAGACAGCCCTATTCAACCACCAATAGAATAAGTTTTTTAACTGATTGACAGGCAATTCAGCCAATGCAAGCTTTTCTACCACAGGTGATCAATATAGGAAATTTGAAAAATACAGCACCATCCAACCACCAATAATAATCAAGCTTTTTGATTGATTGACAGGCAATTTAGCCAATGTAAGCTTTTTTACTACAGGTGATCAATATAAGAAATTTGAAAGAGACTCTGACCTTATGATTGGATAATCACACATCCTTTGACCTCAAAGGGAGGATCCGAATCAACTTTAGAGCACTTATAAAGTGGAAGATTCCTGAGGCTACTTCACAGCTACTGAGGAAGCTCATACAAGAGTGAAACGCGTTTAGCTGGAGTTTGGACTTTTATACTTGGACTTTCCATCATTTAGCTTATGTGCTTTTGAGAAGTCTAAATATTGTTTTTATTATTATTTTTTTATCTCTACAATAAATTATTTTTTTATATATTAGTCCATATAGTCCTTTCTAGCCTCCAGGAACACCATGTGGGGAATGCTATCCCAATAAATTAGCACATTGCCAACAAACCTCAGAGCCAGGAATTCAAGGCTCTGTCTAAGGTGAGCATATCTATTACTATCTCACTATATTGTATACACCATCTGTACAATACCACCTATGAGGCTCTCTCTCTCTGTTTGTTCCATATCTTCGGGAGAATATCGTTTGGGATAAAGGGGTGTGTTGCTGCCTCAAGAGCAAGAAGGAGTCACTTACGGAGCCAATAGCTTATAGGCTCCAACCCACGTGAGTGGTTTCAACCAATTGCTACCATTATTCATTTTTTATTTTATTTTTTATTTTATTTTTTATTTATTATTTATTTTTTATTTTTATTTTTTGTAAACCATCTGCACTATATTCTCTCTCTTTGTTGTTTTACTTTGTATGTACATTTGGACACATTGTATCACTATGTTGGAGGGGTGAGTATACCCCCTCATTATTTATATATACATTCAATATAGCGCTCCACTTGCTGGTATATTGTTTATACCTTTTTTTCAAAGTATTTTAAAGGTCTGGGGACATAGTCATAAAGGGGCAATAAAAGTCCATAAGCCACAATGCCATTTCAGTTCTTGTTTTAGCCTGAAGTTTATCCTTGTCATGTCTCCATCACTGGGGGCTGGAACCTGTGACTGCTCCTGTCAATCATGGTCCACCTGTAGATTATCACTGATTAGCCAGGTATAAGACACTGCCTCTCCCTGAGGGCAGTGTCAGTTCATTGACTCTGGTTCTGCTGTTTGGTTCCTGTTTTAGCATCCTGATCCAGTGTTCTTCAGACTGATTTTGGCTTTTGACCTTGGCTTGTTTCTTCAATTTTTCCTGACCTTTGGCTTTCCAAGCCTGTATGGCCTGTACTGCGATTTGGAGTATATCCCTGCACAGCCCCCATGCACAGACTCTCAGGCCAGGTGAATTCTTACCAGACCACCTTGGTCTGTGTTTATTTGCAAGGGTGAGCATATATCTCTGCCTATTGGACTCCCAACTAAGGTAAGCTCTGACAAGTGGGGATTTACTATCGGACGTACCAGGTACTTCCGCAGTTGGTAATGGCCATTTGTCGGACAGACCTGGTGCAGGAAATGGGTTAACCATTAATCACCTGCATTAATGATATTGACATTTCCAAATACATGAATTGCCTGTCTATATCCATGATAAAGTACTCAGATCTAAAGCATCATACGATGAACTGCGTGAGGAGCTATCCTGGGTAACTCTGATTCTTCCACAGTTCTGATTCACATTTTTTTTTTTTTACTTGCGTAGATAGTAAAATATTATTGTATATATTGATGTATACCCTATATACCATAAAGTTAGTATATGAAACACACACACATTGAAACATAGAATGCGACGGACGGCAGATAAGAACCATTCGGCCCAACTAGTCTGCCCAATTATAATTTTTTTTTAACTCTGCATGTAAAAACGACACATTTCCCATAGTGAATGACACACGGTAAACATTAGTGTTATTCATGACAAGAGGTAGTGAAGCCTTGACTTTAAAATGGTTGCAGTAGTGTCTAAATTAAGGACACAGAATAAAGTTAATCCTCTTAAAAGAGCAAGACAAAAAATTGTTATGGTACCCTCAAGGTCACAATTTAAAAAAAAAAAAAAAATGTTTTTGCTTTCATTCATGTGAGGTAGTATGTAGCTCAGGACAGGTGTGTGTGTGTGTGTGTGTATATACAGAGCTGCAGACCATGTAATCTCACAAGATCTGTCAGAGCGTTACCGTGGTAACCCATGGCAATGCTCTGATTGGCCAGTTTTCGCGAGACACATGGTCTGCGGTCAGCCAGGAGGCATACCCAGCGGGCCTCCTCCTGGTGTCGGGTCCTCGGTCACTGACCGAGGACCCTGCACAGTTTGCCATCAGATGGTTTAGGCGGCCGCGAGGCCCCAGCCAGCGTGAGGCCTTAGACGGCCACCTAAACTGCCTAATTAGAGAGCCGCCTCTGATCAGAACAAACAATATTTCCCATATATAACTCCTGTTCTTGGTCTTCCTGGCTTGATTACTGTATCCATGAGATTTATATCACTCCGCAACCTCATGCAAGTTGTATCCTTAAGGTTCTTAGCTCAAATCCTGCTTAGTGTTTTCAGTGTTGGGAAAGGTTGGATGTTATAGATCGGGGCAATAAGAAAGTGAACCCACTCCATTATAAAGGCAATAAAGCATACAAACACTAACTTATTTTTGAAAAATGTGTTTGTTTTTCACTTTCATGTGAGCTTTGTAAGTCCTTCTTCAAAACATTAAAGGGACACTATAGTCACCATGTGGCGGAACCAACCTCACCACTGTCCACTGGAGAGGCCTGGTTACTCACCTGCTCCCTTTAGACTATGGTCCTGCATTTTAAACTTTTATTTTACCGGCAGAAAGGTTTATTCGTGCCTTTCTGTGGACTGTTAAAGCCATGCTACCCCAGATAGCTATGCCATGGAGCTCAGCCGTATACTGAAAGACTGTATGAAAGACTTTGGC